GGCCCCTGGATTCTCTATCAGCCCAGAACTAAAACAATTTCCGAGGCCAACTCTTCAGACAGGGATTGGACTGGACTGTGGGACATAAAGTGATACTAATGGGGAGTGTGCCTCTGAACTCAAATAGGTACAAGAGACTAAATGGGCAACTTCTCTCCAGAGATGAGATGGGAAGGCAGAGAGGGTTACGAGCTGGTTGAATGGACATGGGGAATCGGGTGGAAAGGAGGAGTGTGCTGTCACAGTATGTGGAGAGCAATTAGGGTCACATAACAATGTATGTATAAATTTTTGTATGGAAGACCAACTTGAAATGTAAACCGCTTAAACTACAATAAAAAAATTAGAGGATGTAGATGCATTTACTATCAATTGAAACACAACAGAGAGTAGATTTCACCAGCTTAAAAATAGATACAAATCCAAGCAGAATAAATCAGAGCTATAAAATCTGGAAAATACTGAAGTAATGGTAAGCAAAAGGTGATAAAGTAACTCATGGTAAAGTAAATAAAGGTAGGTTGAAGTAGGCAAACCCTTCTTCTAGTAATTCCCAGCTCTGTTTTGGTGAACAATCTATTTTGTATGCAAAAGTCTTTCCCTGGTCCTTTCTGGATTTATAAAAATCTATTCAATGCTTTAAATTTTCTCTCACGTATTGTATACCTCTACTTTCAGGACTGAGATCAGAATTGCTCTCAATCCCTAGTACCATTTCGGGGCTGATCTTCCTGCACCCTCATGAAAATCCCTTGTTCTTTTTACTGTCTTTTAACTATACCAGCTTCTCTTCATCTTCACTACTGTTGTCTGCCCATCTCCCACTTATCTGATTCATGACTTCAAAAGCTGGCTCATCCTTACCGTCTCTCCTGAAATATGTATATTCTTAGATTCAGTAAATAATGCAGTGCATAATGGGAGCCAGCAGTCTTACTATTAGAGACAGGAGTAACATACAAAGTAAGAGAAAAGGCTAAAATGAACCCTGTGGTATAGGACTAGAATCAGAGATATGGGTATGATCTTGTGGTTTTCAAAAACATATACAGATACTTCTGTAGATATAAAAATGTCTTTGTAAATATATACACACACACTTATATTTCCTACCTCCTTTCACTTTGAGAGCCCAGTAGCAATAAGCATATCTAATGCCCAGATCTTTGTTTCTAAGTATCATTCTCTAATAAAAGGAACCAGAGTTTCTTGGAGAAAACCCTCATTCCAGAACTTAGACAAGAAAAGGATTAGGTGAGCCTCAAACACTGGCAGGAAACAAATTTTAAATTATAATGGAGGCATGGCAAATAAATACAGGAACCTACTTAAGAAAGTTCCATAACCGAATCTGGGACAATTTGAACAAGAATAAAAAGGTAATATGGATTACCTGCTACACTAGAGTCCACGGGTTATGATCCTCCATCTTATGTAAAACAAATAGTCATGAAACAACCCCTGAAATCTTTGTTAGAGATTAACACCCGCTCAGACAGGAACTCAAGTGTCCGTTGCACGCTGACAGTACCTTATGCCCGCTTCTCCCTCTGCTCGGAGCTCGGCAGATGATGTTGTGCACCATGATGTCACATTTGGAGTGGTGCCAGAGGCTGGGTTAGTGCTTGGTGCTTCACTCTCACCCTCACCCATCAAACCCCAAAGTGGGTTTTCATGCACATTGCTCATGCAGGCAGCCTCATAACCAACCCAAGTCAGGGGTGGAGGGTATACCAAGAGGGAATCCAACTGGGCATAAAAGATTCACAATATTTGGGTGTTATGGTACAACATGCATAAAAACATTATTACTGTATTATTGTGTTAAAAATATTTTAGGGTATATTATTTAATGTTTGTATGCATAAAAAAAGTACAGTATGTACTATATACTGACACAAATATTTGATATTGGAAGTTAACCTTGCACAAGTATTCAGACTTACATACAAATTTGAATTAAAGACAGACTTCGGAAGGGAACATGCTCATAATCCAAGGACTGCTTCTACTGTTATAAAAAATTTCATAAATGCATAAAAGGGAAAGAACGAAAAACTACTTCTTGCAAAATTGCAACTAATAAACATAGAAGAAATGATTAGGAGAGAGTACTTTTAGTAAACACCACGGTGATAAAAATTATAGGTAATAATTGTCAATGCATAGTAAATCACTAGGTTAAAGTACAATGAAAAACAGAATATTTGTACTGTCTCAAAGTATGGCCCCATGAGAAACTTACTAATTATAAAGGGTAAAATAGTTAGCTTTACAATAGAAGAATGGAATGAAACACGTTAAATATGAAAACAAGAAAAAAAATCCTTAAGCCAAATACAAGAAGAGTACATTTAATTGCATGCAAAATAATATCAATAAAACATTAACAAATATAAAACCATATTTGCTCGTGGCTATTCCTTGCAGCTTTATTTGTTATAGTGAAGGACTTTCAAAAAGGTAAAATTTAGCTTGGACTGAGAAAGGAGCAAACACTGATGAGGACAACCTCATACTGAAAATGAAACTTATTTCTGTGAAAGGCACAAAGGAGCTAATACCCCTTCTATGAGGTAATATTGCTTTGTTAGTCACTGAGAAATTCTGTTCATTAATTGCACTTTCAGAAATTTGCTGTTTGAAATTATACAATTAAGGATAAAACATTCCACTTTTGACACAGTAGACTCTTCACTGTGAGATCTTATGTGTGAAGTGAGGTGTGATGAATGACAAAAGGCTTTCTCACGTTCCTTACATTCATAAAGCCTCCATTGTGAGTTTTCGTATGTCTTCTGAGGGCTGAGGAATCACGAAACGCTTTCCCACATTCCTTACATTGATATGGCCTCTCTCCACTATGAATTCGTCTATGTATCATGAGGCCTGAGGCCTGCCTAAAGGCTTTCCCACATTGCTTACATTCATAAGGCCTCTCTCCACTGTGAGTTCTCCTATGATTAGTTAATACTGAGCAACAACTGAAAGCTTTCCCACATTCCTTACATTCATAAGGTCTTGCTCCACTATGAATTCTTATATGAGAAGTGAGGTATGAGTAACATCTGAAGGCTTTTCCACATTCCTTACACTGATAAGGTCTCTCTCCACTGTGAGTTGTTATATGTGTAGTGAGGGTTGAAGCCTGACTAAAGGCTTTCCCACATTCCTTACATTCATAAGGCCTCTGCCCATTGTGAGTTCTTATATGGTTAGTGAGGTGTGCTGATTGACTA